TCAAAAGGGATTGGATGTTCCCCACTCGATTTGGACTCCAGAGCAGAAGGCCGAATTCTTCCGGAATTGCCGGGTCAAGATTGATGCCATGACCACTACTGATCAGCATTGATTGACGGGAGTATCTTAGGTTTCTGGTGACAGGCCGAAAACCATATAAGGAACAAGTCATGCTTGTAGCAACAATATTATAAGATTCAGTCTTGCATCCAGAACAGGTGACCCTGTTTCAAAGCTCTGAAATATTTAATACCTCTAGTAATCGGAGCTAAACTCTTAATCATAAAGAGTGAGGCGATAGCGAGAGAATGCTCAAAACTCTCCGGGTCTATAGTTTCGCCAGGTCTCAAAACCGACCTGCTCATACCAGCCATCGAGTGCAACCCAGTCTACAAAGACGCCTTCAATACCTCTTTGCTTCATGTTTTCAATAGCATGGCAGATCAACGCCAACCCAATACCATACTTGCGGTGGGACTCATCGATTCCCACGGCACCGATCAGCCCGGTGTTCGGACCACAGGTTTGGGGGAATGCCCAAGACTCGTTCAGAGCATCTGATGGACCGAGCATTAACGTCCAGCCGACCTGCTGGCCTTGGGAGTCGAATGCTGTCATCACACTGTCGGGATACTTGTCGGGATGTAATGCGACATATGCCTCCACCCAGCTCTGGTTAACACATTAGTATAGATTCCGACCAAGTAGAAACGTAAGGACAACACAGGAGTCTTACCCCATTCTTAGAGAAGTTTCTTCTTTGGCCCACCAGACAGGCCTCGTAATCTTCGGATTTCAATGGAGCGAAATGGAAGCCTCGCTCCCGGGCACGAGTGATATACTTCTCTGGCGACTGGAAATTTCGAATATCTTGGTACAAGTCAACGGCTCGGGCAGTGGGAGGACTGAGTCGGAAACCACGGTGAGTAAAGAAATGTTGCACTGTTTCTGGAAGGTCTCGGGGAATCCCAGGCCAAAAGCGGGGGAATGAGCTGCCCAGATTCACTTTATTGAAGCCAAAGGTTGCCCGGAAGTATGCTCTCGTTTCTTCCAGCAGGGCAATTCCAACACCTTGGTGTTGATACTTTGGTGACACGGCAAGGACTGCAATATACACGGTGTCTGGTGTACCGTGAGAATTTGTGTAAGCAAGACAGAAGCCCACTAGCTGCGATCCAATGTGCGCGACAAAATGATGGCCATACGGGCGTACTATCATAGACCGCAAACTTCCAGTAGGAATGAGGTAGGTTGGGAGAGCAGCGGCCCAGACTTCGACCACCTCATCCAGATCTCTTTGTGCGTCAAATGGCGTTACTGCCGCGGAGGTCTTTGTCAAAGCATTAGCTCCCACAGGAAGAGCGCCTGTCGGGACCAGTGATCCGAACATTATATCGGCAGCCACAGAAAATGCCTCGATGGTCGGCTCGTATGTGGTGATATAAGTCTTGACACTAGGAGCATCAAGGAAGTCATAAGGGTTGCAGGCAGCAATATGCACTAATGATTGAATACGCTCAGCAAGTTCCAGGCCTAGTGACTCCTGGTATGGCGACTCTCTTGCGTTGAGTGAAGTGAAAATCACGACATCGGCGACCTCAAGGGTTCGCCATTGCTCCGAAGTCAGACCGTTCGCTCCGTATCTGATCTCAGCAATGGAATTGTTGTGTTGCCGCAGCACATCAAGATATTTGTTGGAATGATATAATCCTGGCTTCTCCGTTCCCTCGCCGTCAACAGCACCACCGACTGGGGTCTTGTCTCCGGGGAAGAGGAATATGATGATTGAAGTCTTTGACAGGGGTAGAACTCCATTCTTGTCGCGAACGAGTGTGGTCGATCGAGAATATATATCCATAGTTGTCTCAGCAATTCTATTGTTCAGCGAGCTGAGGTCTGCGAGGCTGGATTGCCGAAGAGCAGTGTCCCAGTTCAAAAACTTGTCCTTCACCGTAGCAACATGGCGACAAGCGTCTGTCAATCGTAATTGATCGATTGTGCCGGACTTTATCGCTTCACAAACTCTCTTGATCGAAGCCACCTGCACATCAAAGGTATGGCAGATCATGATACTGTCGCTACCAGCGCGCAATGCTAGCACCGAGCCTTCCTCTGTACCGTATGTAGCGCGGATTCCATCCATCTCCAGACAATCTGTGATGATCATACCGTCATAGGCCATGTCCTTGCGCAGAATTCCCATAACTTTCGGAGAAAGCGTTGCAGGTAGTGTTAGATCGATAGAGGGCAACGAGATATGAGCTGTCATGACGGTCTCGATGCCCTCGGCGACAGCCCGCCTAAAGGGAATCAACTCGCAACGCTCCAGCTGATCCCTTGTTTTAGGAATGACCGGTAGTCCATAATGTGAGTCAACAGCTGTGTCTCCATGACCTGGAAAATGCTTTACACTGGGGACAATGTTTTGTTCCCGCAGACCCCGCGCGGCCGCACTCGCAAACCGGCCCACAAATTCAGGGTCATCGCCCGGGCTGCGTACACCGATGACTGGGTTTAAAGGCTCAGAGTTGATATCGCACACTGGTGCATAGTTCATGTTAATCCCGAAGAAACTCAGAGTTTCCCCCGTGGCTTTCCCCGCACTGTAGGCGCACTCTGGGTCATGCGTGGCACCGAGTGCCATAGGGCCCGGCACCTGAGCGGCGATCGGGGGAGAAATACGAGTGACCAATCCATTCTCCTGATCAATTCCAATTAACAGTGGTCGCTCATGTCCGGCCAATTTGGCTTCATTCTGTAAAGCCAGTGCCAAGGTCTAGAGAAGATTAGTCAAGCCAATTAAGGACAACCTTGATAGCCTCAAATATCGCACCTGAAGCTGTTCTGCATTCTCAAAATTGCGCGAGAAGAGGACGATGCCTCCAACGTGGTAGTCATGAATCAAAGTCTTGATTTCGGGACTTGGGGTGCAGCCATAGAACCCCACCGCGAAGAGCTGCGATTGTCAGTGAGAATCACAAAGAAGGGGGTTTCAGGGCTCATTTACCTGGCCAACCTGCTTTTGAAGATTCGAAGAAGCCATTTTGGCTTTGATTGTTGATTTTTATTTGGGGTCATGGATAAGTAAATGGTTCAGACGGGGTGACGTTGAAAAGGATCGGAGCCTGCCCCCACTTGCAACGTTGCGTTTACACCTGGGCATTTACCTAGGTAGGACATTTCAGCTTAACCTCTTGGGATCTAGTGAGTCCCATGTGTGTAGGTTCTTGCCATTTGAATGTAACAAATAAAAAGATAAGGCAAGTTCGATGGATGGGGGATATGTAACCTTCAATGTTGACATGAGAATATCAATGTGACCCTGGGGAAATACGTGTCCACGGATATATGTTCTTCATGTTCCTAATGCTGTCTGGTGAAGCTTTTCCACTTCCATTTTATGTTAATTTTAATACAAAAATCCATGTATCTTCAATGTGAGATATTCAGCTTATCAACATTAACGTTAACAATTCCTCCGTAGAGGTAAGATCCGACGATAACGGCACGTGCGCCCGTAGTCAAGGCCCTCTTTCCAAACCCCCTCTTGTATAAGTATTCAACATAAAAATGAACGAAACCAATCAAATCACTAGCACCTCAGGCATGCCGAGTAGTGTCGACCAGCATCGTCCGTTTCCCTGTAATGAATGCCCGAAGTTGTTTACGCGGAGTGTAAGTACCCCGACTCTGTATCTTCTCTGCCCAGTTCTCACGCGGATCCTAGGAAAACCTACAGCGGCATAAGCGTGCACGTAAGTGTGCATGAAGTTTCTATATATATATATAAGTCAATTGTTGACCCCTTATAAGGTCACGGCGGGGCATTGCGCAAGAATTTCCAGTGTGGCAGATGTCATGCTAGATTCTCTCGAAGGTCTTGTTTCCGTTTTCATGCCCGCCATGGATTGAACACTGATAATTTGCAGTGACGTATATAAAAGACATGGCGATCGTTGCCGTGTGAGAGGATCTCCAACTCCGATATCTGACCCCCAAGTGCCGTGGGAGGGTATGCATACCCCTCAGGTAATGGTCGGCATACCATCACCTTTGACCACCAATCGCAACCCAGCCGAACGTGTCGTGACCGACGAAGCCTTTTGGGAAGAGCACAGTACATTTGCCACTGAGTTACCCCAGAGCTTTTCCTCTTCCTCGCCAAAGTACGCGTGCCTTAAGCTGATTTGTATCAATTGCCCCTGATGCCGTCCCTCAGTAAAGGGGGCTCATCGATCGAAATCACACGTCTAACAATGGGAACTTATCTTACAGTAACCACGCCAATAGCGAAGAAACATACGTCAAACAGTATTTTGAGCATTTTCACCCGTCTTTCCCTCTGTTGCATCGACCTACATTCGTTGTATCCTCGACGCCGAAGTTACTCCTGAAGGCTGTTACTGTCATTGGGAGTTTATTTTCTCCCAATTTATATGATCATGAGGAAACTCAAGCTCTCGCACACTGGCGTCAAGATATATGGCATGGTGGACAGGAAGAGCTTCGGCATATGGTATATGATTAGACCCTACTATCGTGTCGTTTGAGAAAGACGTTCTAAACAACATTGACATAGGTTTCCTCAAATTGCAGTGAGATCAGACAATCCTGGGTCATGCAAGCGTGGCTTCTCTATATAATCTACGGGGTATACGCAAGCGAAGCAGGTCAATTCCAGACCGTGAAAAAGATGCTGCGGCAACTTGTCGATGTCTGTGTTATCTTCTGAAATATCCTTTCCCCCCTTTACCTAGGCTTATCTTTTGAGATAGGCTGTACACGAAATTGGTCTGTTCCAACAGGGTATCGCTATGCCAAATGCCCAGTCTTGGATGTACCAAATTGATTTCAATTCACCCGGAGATGAGTCTCAAACTCTCTACACGCGGTGGACGTCCTATATTACTACCGAATCGATGAGACTGTCGCTGTATACTCTAGTCTTCCTGGACTCACACACATTTTCGCCTTGCAATTCTCGGCCTTTGATGTCACCGATGGAACTTGGCTGGGAGCTTCCCTTCCCTATCAATCTGTGGGAAGCTAAAAACTCTCAGATATGGTTTCTGAGATTCAATGAGAACTTTGGACTTCCGACTTTTACAATAGCCAATAGTCTGTTACATGGGCCACGCGGCCTGGGGACGGCCTCTCTGACAATTGCTACGCAGCAACTCATGACCGAAACACCGGACTCGCAACTATTATCGGCACTAGAAGCATCCCCATTTGCCGCATTCTGTGTCCTAACAAACATAGGTGCTCTTGTGCGGGACTTTACGCGGTGTTACTATCAAATGCCGCCCAGTCCATCTGATCCAAATCCGTTCCATATATTGACTCAGGGTCAGAATAAACAAGTGCACACGGCAATAGAAGCAATCGCAAAGATTGTCAAGAAACAGGCTTACACCAGTGACAGCCCCCAGTTTCTCCTATGGAGAACAAACGAGCTGTTTATCTCTTCTCTCAAGATCAGCTTATGTCGCCCTGACCAGCTCTTGATTGCAGGTATTGTGGATAACAGCTTGATAGCTGGGATGGCTGCTTCCACTCATCTAACCCAAGGAAACCTTGTCGCGATCCGGCGATCAGCACCTCTTGTCCCACACCATGTCGGTGGGGATGAGGGCATTGTGGCTCTTCTGAATGATTTATCTGGGGCATTGTCCAACATCTCTGGGGAAGAGCAGGATAAAGTGGTCCGCGAAGCACCCTGGGTCACCGTGGCCAGTTACGGTGTTTTGTTATGTATCTGGGGAGCGCTCAAACGCGCCAGCACCGATATCCGCCACCATTTAAACACCTTCAACGAACTCCCGAGAATCTCGGAATCCTGCATGTTGATATTCAACACCCTCATGGAGTCCGCTCTTCTCAATTTCTCCACAGAGAATGATGCGATCCGAGACCCCCGCCTGTGGACCATGAATCGAGAGGCTTTCGTTAGTCTGCTTGATGAAAGTGAGTCACTATTTGTCAATTTAATCAAGGCCTTCTGTCAACGAAGATCTCTATGGGGGATTGGGCCTTCGATGCTGGCAGTGTTGGGTGAAATCCCGGGTACCGCCGAGTGAACCGCGTTGTTCTAAGGTTTAATCCTGGAATGGGTTTGTTATCAGAGCAAGTGGACGATCTCGTGTGAGGAGACCAAGTGGACACCAAAGTGGGCATTGGGTGGACACTGAAAGGATAGGCGGTGGAGCTCCACATCTCCCCGTTGGGGCTCCTCTTCTCAGTGTCAACCTTGGCAATCCGTTTATAAACTCTGCGAAATAAGCTAAATGACTTTAAAGATTTCAAATCGAGCAATTTAAAGAAAATGTCATCGTTCAAACCAAGAGTTGGCTGGGTAGGTTGTAATCCCCTTAGTTGAATGCCCTTTTGCTAACTCGGGAATAGTATGGCCTCGGATCGATGGGGCTAGGAATGTCCCTTAATCTCCAAAAATATCTCCAGAACAACAATTTGTCCCCGCTTCGCTACAGCAACCGCACTTTGTCAAAGGGTGATCTTCTCCGTGATGAAGGTGCTATACCCGAAGAGAATTTTGAAGATGTCGTCCAAAATTCGGATGTAATTTTTACAATGGTAGGGCATTTGTTTTGTGATAACTACGTGCACCCCATTGACGAAGAAAAATAGATCTCCAATGACGATGTCCTAATTGAACTATTTAACAAGGCCTTAGCCATGGGCGATTCATTGAAAGACAAAAAGTTTGTAGACACTTCTACTATTCATCCAGACACGTCAGAATGGGCTACATCGCGCCTCAGTGAATACGGGGCGGCATTCATAGCTGCTCCAGTGTTTGGTGCTAGTTCCGTGGCAGCCGCTGGGAAGCTGATCTTCGCCGTAGCCGGACCCGTTAAGGCGGTTGAGACAATCAAACCTCTCATCATGAACGTCATGGGACGCAGTATCATTGATATGGGAGAAGACGTGCGAAAATCCAGCCTTCTCAAAATCTCGGGGTGAGAAACCACTCAATCCTTGAAACTATCATCAACATTGAGCTAATCCACTCCTTTTTTCCCAGGAATATTCTCGTTATCAGCTTCATGGAAGTGATTGCTGAAGCGCAAGTATTTGCCGAAGTGACGGGGATTGGCAATCAACAGCTGGAGGAATTCATTGGCAATATGTTTGGTCCCGTGCTTGAAAGCTACTCAAAACGTATTACTACGGGCGCATATGCACCCCCACTGGATACGTCTCCTGGGTTTGCAGCAGCCCTTGCAAGCAAAGACATGAAACATGCTCTCTCCATCGCTGCCAGCCACTCAACTCGTCTTCCAACGCTCGAAACTGCATCAACACGTCTTCTGTCGGCACGGGAATATGCCGGTGAATGCCTGGATAGTTCAGCCATATATGGAACAGGACGAATGGAGGCAGGCCTATCTTTTTGGAGCGAAAATAGTCGCCAGGGAAATTGAGTTATTTGCTCTTGGCTAATAGAAAGTCTACGTGTTTGTAATTTAAAAGATTGATCTATGATTCACTTAACTCTTCCTGGCTTCTACTTTCCCTTATCTTACAAAAATAAGGCTATATACGTTGCCTTGCCCGTGAATTAGCTACTTAAGGTTGTTGAGCTCTAGAATCCAAGAGAGCGCCTGGTGATTGATCTGAGCATTTGTTCTCTACCGACAGCTCAAATTGTTATGACATAGTATGTAATTTTCATTGGCGGAATTAAAGCTCCTAACCAGATAGTATAAACCGCTTCCACTTTGAATTTTTAGATTTCATGTTCGTTCATTCATTCCAGAAAACACAAGTTGCCCCTGCCAAGTCCATACCCATTTACAAGATATTTCAGACAAGAGAGTAAAGCTGGAAATTCTGCATTGTCTACGAAGAGAGGCCAGCTACATAAATAGCCGGAGACCTAACAAAAAGCATCTAGGCATTTTGTCTCAACAGTTTCTCCAAGTCAACCACCTCATTTATTGGAGCCAAAATTTCTTGACTCAATGTCATGATCGTTGTGTTCCCAAGTGGCCTGCGTCCCCGACCAGTACCATATCCAAAATGATGGGAAACAATAGCTTTGACACCCGAAATACCCACCTTGGTGAGGGCCCAATCAGCATGACTGAGCTTGGACTGAAGCTCTTGTGCTGCCTTAAGCTCACCCTTCTCATAGTATCGCAATACCTCCATATGAAGCTTGGGTACAATGTTGGCGAGTGCAGCAATGATCCCGTTTGAGCCAGCGACGAGCGCGGGTAGGAAAAAGTCCGACTTTCCACCAAAAGTAGCAAATGATGTCCCTGAAAGTGCTGATGAGACACGTTGGAGCTTTCCAACATTTCCACAGGTGAGTTTGCACCCGACAATGTTTGGATTGGACTGGGCTAGGCGGATAATGGAATCGGAACTGATGTCGATGCCTCCCGTCACGCCAGGGAAGTTATAAATGAGGATAGGAATCTCGGATTGAGATGCAACCTGTATTTTCGGGTATTGTTAGATTACCAAAGTACGAGAGATGGGTTGTTTCTCGGGATATAAAAAGTTCTTACATCGTGGAAGAAGCCTTCAATGACGGATGCATTCATAGCTGCAACCCAGTATGCCGGCGGTAACACGAGGGCAAAATTGGCACCGGAAGCTTTAGCCTCTGAGATATAGGAGAGTGTTTCCCGCACACTAGGTGCGCCGCAACCGACAATCAACTGCAATTCTGTATAGCCTAGGTGATCAAGGTGGTCGCGGACAGCGCGCACTAGAGACTTGCGCTCGCTATGATCAAGATGAGGAGCCTCCCCATTGCTTCCCTGAAGCACAATGCCAGCGATCCCACCTTCTGCCATGCGCTTTGCATGAGCCAAAGTGCTTTGGAGATCGAGGGTCTCGTCCTCCTCGAAGAACGTCACTAATGGCGTATAGACACCGAAGTTGGGTTTTGCTGGTGCCATTTCGTTGTAATTTTTGAATGTGAGAGATCGAAGAAATTTTGACGGTATTTAGCGCCTGATTGCTATTTTTTGCTCACACTTGCCCTCTTATTGATTGAGCCCGGATGGTATATCGCTTGGTTGGTGGAGCTCCACCTTGCCTTCCATCGGGGCTCCGCTGCTATTGAAAGACACACATAACGCAATCAAGGCGAATATAACCGACTCTATTGATTCTTCCTACTTTATAATTTTTTGAATCTCCCATTTACATTCAAAATTCACATCCAACTTGGCCACAATGAGTTAAGTTTCTTCTTCGTTTATCAAGCTTGTGAACTATACGCCTCCGGACGCTATCTTCGAGCTCACCAAAACATACAATGCGCATCCAATTGCGCGCAAAGTAAATCTTGAGCAGGGAACGTACAAAGACAAAAATGGCAACCCTTGGATATTGCCTGCGGTGCGATCGACAAAAGAGAAAATCAAGGACTTCAACCATGAATATCTCCTGATTCTAGGGCCCCCCTCATTTCAGACACTGGCTACGGGTTTGGAATTTGGCAAGCATTCCGCGGCAATTTGGGAAGTCTGAGAGAGTAATATTCATTTTTGCTTCGCAAAATCATTTCAGCGATTGACTTTTTGGCTTCCTCCAGGCCATATCCTGTCAAGCTCTGTCCGGTACAGGTGCACTCCACATCGCCGGAACAATGCTTAGGCAGGCACTAGGTCGCGATACAACCGTGTATATGACCAAACCAAACTGGTAGAATTACAACGTAAGTGACTGCGAAACACATGTTTGGAACGAAAATTGTTTTTGTCGGAAGACTAGCTGACATGTGTCTGATATAGAGGAACACCATATCTATATGGCCGAGAGTTCGAGGGTATCTATCGCGGGACTTAACGGGTCTGATGTTCCCGAGGTCGGTATGTCGCCGAATGTATCAGACAGTGAAGCGATAAGACGGATTGCATTTACTGGACTACATAGGTATGACAGGTAATCAGATATGAGCAAAATCAAGTCACAGAGATAACCCCAAAGTCTGTTAATTATGTACAAGAATAGATGCTTATGCGGCCTTGTGGTATCTTTTTAGTTGGTCTTCTTAGTTGGTCCTTTTTAATTGTTTTTTCCTATCTGCATCTACTAGGAATCCCCGCTGGACATCACCAAATCGATACTGATAGGCCCCCAAAACCTTCTGATAAGCCCGTCCACAACCCCCCTCAACTCAAAATGGAGCTCCACCAGAAAATGTCCACCTCCACAAATTCCGGGGTACAGCTTGGAGCTTGGCCAACTTGCCCATAGGCTGTCAAACAGCCTTTCCGATAACCCAATATCAGACGGAGGATTTAAAGAGGAAGCCATGGCTTCATGATTCTGGCATTCGAGGCTCTGTTGTACAGAGGTGCATCAACTGAAGCAACATGACCATGGCGTCAAACGATATGAAGCTATCCGAGGTTCCATCAAAGCGAGATACGGAGCAAGCGGTCATGGACGTTCAGGATGGATACCTGAAGCAGCATGAGATCCGGGATCTCGATCCTGCTCTCCAATTCATGAACGCAGAGGAGATTGAATATACTCCTGACGAGGCCAAGAATGTTTTGTCCAAAATCGATCGAGTCCTCATGCCTTTGCTCTGTTGGGTCTATTTGATTCAGTTCGCCGACAAAACCTCATTGAATTATGCCTCACTGATGGGCATTCGGGAAGACACTCATTTGGACCCCAACTCGCAGCAATATAGCTGGGTGTCGAGTATTTTCTATGCTGGATATATCTGCTGGGAGTAAGTCCCTCTTCCTGGTACTATCCTCTACAGGTTGCTGATGTATGAGTTTAGATTCCCTACCACTTATCTGCTTCGCCGCCTGCCCCTGGGCAAATACACCTCAGTCAATATCCTGCTCTGGGGTATCGCACTCGTCTGCCACGCAGCCACTCATAACTATGCGAGCCTACTATGCGTCCGCTTTTTCCTAGGCGCATTTGAGGCAACAGTAACGCCGGCATTTGTCTTGTTCACCTCTTCCTGGTATAAACAAGAGGAACAAGCCAAACGCATGGGCCTTTGGCTCAGTTGTAACGGACTAGCCCAGCTGCTTATTGGGCCCGTCGCCTACGGCCTAGCGGGTGTGACCGGAACTACCATCGCTGTCTGGAAAATCCTGTTTTTGGTATTTGGCCTGCCCACCGTCCTAACGGGTATAGTATACTTTTGGTACATGCCCGACAATCAAGTCCAGGCACGGTTCTTAAATCATCGCGAGAAGCTTATTGCCATTGATCGAATTCGGGGCAACTTCCAAGGAATTGGCAGTCAGACATGGAAATGGCCTCAATTTTTCGAAGCATTCCGCGACCCGCGCACCTATCTCTACGTTCTATTCTCGCTGCTGATGAACATTCCCAACGGGGGAATCACGACCTTTGGCTCTATCATCATCAGCTCTTTTGGATTTTCCAAACGCATGTCTCTGATTTTGAACATGCCAATGGGCGTCGTGGATATTACTTGTAAACTGGGACTGACCTATCTCTCTGATCGGTTCTTTGATCGCACCCTCTTTGCTATAATCGCCATTCTGATTCCAATGATTGGCGGTATCATGATGATTGTGATCCCCATTCATGCCAAAGCTGGCTTGCTGATAGGATACTACTTCATCGGTGCCGCTGGAACTTCCTGGTGTCTTGTTATGGTGATGATTTCCAACAATACCCTAGGGTATACCAAGAAAGCAACAGTAAACGGCCTCCAGATTGTGGCCTACGCAGCCGGAAACTGGATCGGCCCTCAAACATTCCGCTCAACCCAATCGCCTGAATATTTCGATGGGAAGCTGATGGTCGCCATTATGTATGCTCTGGCAGCGGTCACCCTGGCAGCAATTCGGGTGATCAACCTCTTGGAGAACAAGAGACGTGACCGCAAAGCGATCGATGATCCACAGTCTGCACATACTACTCCAGGCTCTGAATTCCTTGATTTGACAGATTTCGAACAGCCAGCCTTTCGCTATGTGCTGTGATTCTCTACGCTTGAACAAGGATCTTGGTATATTTATTATGTCTCATTCGAGTCTTTCGTGGCTAAGCTTGAGCAAGCGAGGTGGAATATTTGTATTTAATCGGATTGTCGCGTATAAGGACTTGAGCTTATAGGATATTGCTGAGATGGTAAATATTTCAAGCTGCGTAGCTCTTGTTTGAAATTTATTCTTGTAGTCATCTGTGAGCACTTATAGCAAACCAGGGAGACTTTAGCAGTCATGTCAGCCTTCGCTCCAGTCTAAATACTATGGGGTACGGACCCCGAGCTTGAAACGAAGCAAGAATTTATACCATTCAACATTCCTGCTCTAGTACAGTATAATTCATGTTGTGTTCACTGCTGCTCTTTTTTCTCCGACCTCCGTATCTTTGTCTCGTGGAACGAGCTATTGGTATTTGCTTAGCCAGAAATACATATATCAAGTATTGTTTGCCTAGATAAGATAGAAGAATC